GGGGGGGGGAGCAAGCGGCCGTACAACATAAAAAAGAATTCTGTACAACTTATTTCTCAATCTTATTTTGTGTTTAACCACCGTTCTTCGTTCCATTTTCCCCTAATTTTTTGGTAAATTTCACCACATTTTAGCTATTATTCTTATATAATTTTTAACTCGGTGCCATTCAAATATTCTATTTTTTCCCTTCCTATCCAAATCCATGTTTTGCCGACTGGGATTCAATATTTTACCGACTACCTGAAGACTGGGGGGTGTTACACCCCCACAACCCCCCTTTAGCGCCAGCACTGCTTAGGTTGTATAATAATGTTGTCCAGCTGAAGTGAGCTTTATAAAACTGATATTTGCACCATTGATAAAAAAGCATCACCCCGACATAACGTCAAACTCACTGGCAAATTTCCCAAGCGTAGTTAACAGGTTTCAGCATCAAGTTTTCATGACGTTTTTGTTACGGATTTTTCCCTCTTCCTGTGACAGATACGGTTATTATGTTTGGTCTTCTTACGACTCTTACGGAAAAAGGAGGATTTTCTCATTTGACATTCTTTATAATTTGATTATAGTATTATACATATGTAAGTTCGTTTTCATCCTCAGGCTCAGTTAATCCATGACACTTAGCTAGAAAAATATTGCCTCCGTGAAAAGTAAAATTCAGGGCATTTTTTAAGAAATTACAACTACTGGGGCTAAGTCTCAATGAGGACCTTTTCCCCACACAGTTTATACGGGTACATAAAAGTCATCCAGTGCTCAAGCGCAGCGCTACCGCTATTTGAATAGGGGGTGAGTGGGTGTAGGTGAAATATGTATAGGTTATTTTGAGGCAACGAGGGGATATGTGATTTATTCACCGAAGCGCGCAGCGCCGAGGTGAATAAACACATCCCCGAGGTGCCTCAAAATAACACTTATTTTTCACATTGCCAGGTCGCGTTAATGAGTCAGAATAGAAATAATTCTTAATGCCATATTGCAATTGCCTTCGTTATGTTGTTTTTTCTCATTTTTTGTGCTGCAAATATATTGAATATATTCCCCGATAAGAACAAAGGAAACCGAGCAAGGTGAAAAATAATGCCTGCTAATTTCAAACGCTAATTCCTATTTCTTTTCCCAAAATTGTTGGCGAGCGAGTTTTTTTTTTTTTGGGGGGGGGGGGCTTCACGGCTCAACATCGCAAAATTTCCGATGTTTAATTTTTCCCGCGTAATTTTAGCTACAATTATTACATTTTTAGCAGTGTCAATAGAATGTTTTAGTTTTTTTCTTTCCTATCCAAATGAGATTACATAATCTGCTGCATATCTGACGATTGCCGGGGGTGTTCCACATCCCACTTTTAGCGCCGCCCCTGCCTGTGCTGACCTTTATAAGAGGGAATGTCGAGAATGTGAGAGAATGTATATGAGAAAGTAAGCAGATGCAGCTTTTTCAACAAGATTAACCTTTTACTAATGATTAAAAGGGCCCAGCTCATCTGAAAATCATGCTTCACTACTGGGGCAATTGCAAGTAAAGGGCCTACTGGGGTAAATGCCCCAGTAGTTATATAGTTAAAAAATGCCCTGGTAGAATTGCCACCGGGTTCGATCATGACGAAAGCAATTTTCGGCTTCCAGAAATTTTGCGTAATTCCAATAGCTGGAAGTACCAATACCTTCCATGCCATTGATATAAATACATATTTAATTCAATCTCAGTAATGTTGTAGTGCCTTTAAATATGAAAAAAATATCGGTGCACTTTGAGTCAAGGAACAACAGATTGGGTCCTAGAAGAGGGGAGGCCTTGGCCGCTCCATCTTGTATGCTGAGTGTACGCGCTTAGGCGTTAACTGACTGTATCAGATATATTTTGTCAATTGGAATTGTCAGTCAGAATATATAATTACAATTCGGGTGAATGGAGTGGGGTTTTACTAGAGATAGGGGATTCTTCCCATAGATATTATAAATAACACTAGAGGGTGGGGGCATCGTGGGTGAAATTTGGGAGCGCGGTAGTGGGGGAAAATTGAAATCCGGGATGAACACCACACAATTTTGCGTTACACTTGAAACCAGAGAAATTTAAAACAAGAGTCACAAAACCGGTGTTTTAGATGTTTTGCATTTCATTACTACAAACATTCCCCCCAAATTTTGAATTCTAACGATTAATTGCTCCTGAAAAGATCAGAATTGCTCACATCAGCATTATTTTGGAGCGCTCTCAAAAATGTGTTATTGACAGAATTGAGGTAAAAATGCTTGGCAAAAATCAAAACGGGGCTACTTAACTGCCATAAACAAGAATTTAAAGATTTTGGCTCAAATTCGCTGTTATTTTAGTATTTTAATTTTTTGCCCCCCAATAAGCCGCGTTCCCTTTCTTTCACTGAATTAAGATTACGATGCCACCTCTAGTGGTATTTATAATCTCTATGGTCCTCCCAGCTTTACAAAATGGAGACTATATAGCCGTGTTCATAGAGATTATAAATAACACATTCAACACAGATTATAAATAACACATTATAAATAGTGTTATTTATAATCTCTATGGCCGTGTTATCATGAAGTACACCGCAATGGTTACCAAGCGACATTGTAAATATTCAAAATGGCGGAAGAAAGAGAAGATTTGGATGAATTTTTGAAAGATGTCGACGAAATTGGTGAGTAAATTTTGATTGTTGAAATAAATGTTGATTCTTATACAACATTTTATCACAGGTGGCCCAATTCGCCTAGGGGCTGTGTGGGTATTTATTTATTTTTTATTTTATTAATATATTTTGCATTAAAAAGTATAACTTTATACTTAGTTCCTTTATGTATTCTATGCGATTTGTGGGTGGTTTTAGTTTGATATAATGATATAAAAAACTTCATGAGAATGGGATTTAATATACACTTCATATATTGTATAAAAATACAGTGAATAAAACAATGCGTATAAATACGCACTGATTCAAAATATTGGTGCATTTATTTGTTTACGTAATGTGTCATTTACAGGTCCTTGTAGGATAACAGCATTTATTGTAATAGCTGAACAAGTTAACCTGTATAAAGATGATTAATAATATTATAATTACTTCACTTTCGTTGATTTTCAGGCCATTTTGTTTATTAACCTGGCCTATATTGTATGCCAGTATGGCGGTATCACCTAATTTATAT